ACTCCAAAATACACCATATAGACATATTTTTATTTTGTGTGTGCCCAATGCAATGCTGCCCTTCACACACTGCAGTTTCTACCAACTCTTTGTTCATACACACAGCACAGTGGCAGAGATATCATCATGATTACATGAATAGGGGGATAAGGTCTGATGAACTTTGAAAGAGACCAAAATTCATACCAGGAGTGGGGTTCGAACCCACGAGGATATACATCCATTGGATCTTAAGTCCAACGCCTTAACCACTCGGCCATCCTGGTTGTGCCTCCTTCAAGTGTTCTGAAAGGAAAGCAGCCATTAATTATATATGTAGGCCATCAGTCTAACCCTTCCTTCTTAGAAATGCTAGTTATGCCATTCCAGCAGCTACATTGCTTCTAAGTTACTGACATGATGTACCACTAAGAAATTCTGACAGGTCTCTGACTTTTTATGCTTATTGCAAGTCAAGGACAAAGAACTGTTGAATCCAGACACAGAGAGAAAAAGGAGCATTTTGAGAAGGAGGTTAAAGGAGAACTATGGGGTCAGGGCTTTTCCCCATAGTTCTCCTTAGGGTAACGGGAGGACACAAACTAGCGTCCTCCCGTCACCCTAGTAGTTCGTAGCTGTAGCTTGCGGTATACTGAGACGCCGCAGCTCAAGTGGATCCCGACAATTGTGCCGGGATGCGCCCAGCTGCGTGACTGACAGCTGGCTCTGCCTATCTAGAGCGCTGACTGGTGGATCGGACGAGGGAGGGGGCGGGTACAGCTGGCTCTGCCTACCTAGAGGCAGAGCCTATAGTTCTCCTTTAAGAATGTCATTCTTCAAATAAGTAATGATAGTGTGTAAATCTATTGACTTGGCAATACATCTGATTTGATAGGACAATTGGGGGCCTTTTATGAAAAAATAAGTTGGGGGGCCTTTGTACAGTATGAAACGGGTGCTAACGAAAACAATAATTGTCTCCTATAGCATCCATAGTAAATAAAAGTATTTCACCGGCACACACTTGAAGGGTTTTTAAAGTATTGATATGTTTATTCAATAGCCAATGTCACATACTGTCATACGGTGCTAACGTTTCGGGTCCGCACAGGGATCCTTCTTCAGAGCGACAGTCTTTACTATTAGTGTTTTGCACGGCGCCATCCGTGTGGTCACCTGGGCACCACATATACCTTGTGGTTTTGAGACAGTGGCAGTGCGAATGGGATTTGGACTTTCCTATAGCATCCAGTCACCTTCCAGTTGCTACTTCTCAAACCCAACATGGAAAATAGAACAATGCTTCTGAATAGGTGCTAAAAACATGAAGACATTATCTGGTAAGCTTTCTAGTCAGGTTGATCCAGCAGCTATATACGTGGGTTGAGCCATCAGGCTTCCTTGAGCATTTGTGGTGTTTACATTTTTCTGGAGAGCACCATTATTCCTGAGCTTAAAGGGTTTCTAAAGCCTCTGGTTTTTTTTTCCATATATCTCCTGCTAGCAAGCAGTAGATATATGCAAAAAGTTTAAAAAAACAAAAAAGCTTTAACAGCAGTTTAAACTTACCCCGTCTTTGCCGCGCGATCCCACCCGAGAATCTGAAACTGCTCGGGCGGCCGCAAAGCATCTTGGGGCGGGCGCATGCGCAGTTCAGAATTTCGGACGGGAGACGAGCAGAGACGCAAGGTAAGTCTATGGACGCGTGCACTTGCATGCAGACACCGCGGGATCGGAAGTGCCAGCAAGGACAGAGGACCATTTAAGTTTTTAGGACGACCAACATGAAGGGCATCCCAGAATTGACACAGATGACCGGAATGTGGCAGAGGTCAAGGCATCTGTGAAAGAAGTCTCCAGAATCATCATATAGGGATGAAGACAATTTCTAAAACCAAAGATCTGTCAAATGCTTGGCTCCTCAAGGGCTCCTAGGCCTCAGTCAAGGCTGCAAGCCAGCAGGCAACTTTTTCTCTCGAAAAAGTATTATCACTTCAGTGCCAGTGGATGAAAGGACCACAATGACAGCCGAGCGGTACTCAGAAGTCTGCTGACCTGGAGTTTTATGCAGAATGAAGGGAGTTAGCCCCCCAGTTGCCTCTTTCCACATCTTTTCTTCACCGCAACAACATGCCAGCTCACACTGCCAAGTTGACCATTGCCACCATTCAGCAGTCTGGTGTTGAGTTGGTGGTGCCTCCTCCCTATTCACCTAACTTGGCACCCTGTAATGTTGTTAAAATTAAAGAAACTCTGTTTGGGAAAGGTTTTGAAACTCACGATGAGCTTGTTGAAGCCTGGAACGAGGAGTTGGAAATTGATTGAGGAAGATTTTGTGTCATGCTTTGACTTGTAGATTAGGAACGCGAAAGAAATGCATCAAACCTGATGACTTGACTACTATGTCTTGAAAAAATGAGCTATTTGGTGGTTGAAAAAATCCTGTTCTCAGATTACTTCCTTAAAAGTCTCAGGACTTTCTGAATACCCCTTGTACTTTACCCTTTCTGGGTTCTCTGTGTTGGTTTTGGGATCCTGTTATCCCATTTGGTCTGATGTTCAGATTTCTATGAACAGGTTCTATGATTCTATCCAACTACCAAATGTGTTATTTTACACTAAAACCTCTATATCTAAATCATTATGCCAGAAGGTGTCCCTATCACAGGAAGTTGGGAGATATGGGCTTCAAGTTCCTGTTCCCTGCCCCTCATTCAGACAATCCTCACAACTCTAAAGACATGCACACATGCACCATCTCGCAGCTCCTTGCTCCACTTGCTTCCACCCAGACTCCTGGGGTGGCGACCTCCTCTGTCTCCCGGATAGAGCCCTGAACTCTAGTCAGCTCTCCTAACATGACAGCTTTGTATACCTGCACAATTGGGGTTGCTGGTCACAATAAAAGGGTGGACGTAGGCTGGAGGCTTCATCCCACCCAAGTCTCTACAAAGCCTCCAGGTCCCAGTCTCCAAACCAGGAGCAAGCAATCACAGAGAAAACAGAAAATGTGCTTTACTCTATACAGACAAGCATCCTGGAACCCTTCACCTTGTATGGGTCACGGGTGAGAACCCTATCTGACACCAATAGCTTTTCTAACCCTGTGATCCGGTTTCACCTCTGGCTTGTGACCAGGGGCGTAACTAGAAATCACAGGGCCCCATAGCAAAATTTAGTATGGGGCCCTGTGATTTCTAGTTACGCCCACCTGATAACCCAAACAGCCCACCTAAGGGTGACCCTGCAGAGCAAGATGCCATAGCGACCCAGGCGGCCCGCATGGCATCAGGGAGATGTCTTGGCCCGGGCCCCGCCGTGCCTCGGGCCCCATAGCGGCCGCCTGGGTCGCAATGGTGATTGTTACGCCACTGCTTGTGACTCCTCACCTGCCAAACTGTGATTCATTTTCCTATTTAACACATTAGACCTATTCCTGTGATTTGTGACTAAAGTGTCATAATCGCCCTTTATGGGGCCTACTTGTATTGACTTTACCTTTATACTATTGCTATACTAATAGTACTTTTTCAGGTTAAGCTTGCCCCCTGAAGCAAAGTGCTTCTCAATTTTAGTTGCTCTGATTGCACTCTTGCATTTCTTGTTGTATTTCTTATAATCCCTAAATTCCAATGTTGGCCCTTCCATTTTGTATTTTGCGAAGACCAACTTTTTCTCCTTTATTTGCTTTTTCAGACTAACATTGAGTCACACAGGTTTAAATTATGTTCTCTTATATTTCCTGCTCAATGGAGTGCAAAGGCAGCAGTTGTCTCTGAGTACCTGATATTACTATGTCCACAGCTTCCAACCACTTCTGTAACTTGTCCTTAGTCTCTGACTGTCAGTAGCATGTCCCCAGTTTTGACTATCCCTAGCAGTCTCCTATAGCATATTCCCAGTCTATGACCATTTACAGTAGTATGCCCTCGGTTCCCTGCCAGTCTGATGTTGCATGTCTCCAGTCTATTACCATTTCCATTACTATACCCCTAAACCTACCCCTACAATGTCATGTGACCATCTTGTGACCAGTCTATGACCATCGCGGGAAGTATCCTCAGTCTAATGGCCATAATGAGGTATTTTCCCCATTTACTTTGTTCTGTATGGAAGAACCTATTGAAGACCAGAACAGAAATTACACACGACATTTGATTGTGCCCTATTAACTTACACAAACTCCATGTACATGCCTGGCCAATAAGCTATACATTTTCATATATAGACCCCATAGTCAGGGCCGGATTTACTCTCTCTGCTGAACCCAAGGCCAGGTTCCTCAATGCGCACCCCCCCCCATGGAGAATGGCAGACCTGCAGGCTGCATGCAATTGATCTCGGCGACATTGCCAGGATGACTTGTACAAAACAAGTGGTGGCTTCCCCGCTGTACATTTAGCTCTGCTTGCCCAAAGCAGGGCGTAATTTAGAAAACAACTACCCGCCCGGCGCCCGGAACTGCATGTCCCGGGCATCGGGAGATAGGAATTCCACACCACTGCTGCCCCTCTACTCCCTGCTGCCCCGAGCCCAGGCCTTGGTTGGCCTTGCGGGAAATCCTGGCCTTGCCCATAGTATTCAGCAAATGTAATGCTACAGAAAACTATCAGAGGAGAGACAACTGTAAATGGTCAGAGTCTTGGGACATGATACAGAACAGGCCCAGGGGTAATAAAATAATTTAGAATACCCTGATTTTATAGAAATGGGCCAACATCGGGCAATCAGCACGTTTTGGCACTGTGACTTGATTTTCTATCCTCTGTTACATGAATCAATATGCTGAATGCAATGAACTAACCAATATGTGCTTTATTTCAGGCTTACTGTTATGTGAGATACGTTGCACATTAGTCGTCCGATGAATCAAGAAATCTATTTATCATACCTTCTGAAATGATGAAACGTAGAGGGCCAAACCTCTGAGCCAAGCCCAGAATTAAAATCGCCTGGAGGGCTGTACATTCCAGGAGGCCGTGCTTTGCTGTTGGCTATGTGCACTGGAACTCTTTCACAAGATGTCCGCTTTTCTGTTAAGTTTAATATGGTCGCTATTACAGAGCGCCATTGCTCTTAATGACCGCCACCAGAAGCCTGTTGGTGACACGAGGCATTGTGGGGAGTACAGCAACCAGGTCTTGGCTAATGGGCGGTGCAGGATTGTCGCCACACTGCCTCAACAAGATGGCCACCGGTGCCCCGATATGTTCCGCTGTACGGAAGAGGTCTCCTACTGGCTCCATGAGAATGAAGAGAGGAAACAGGAGGTCCTGGAGCTCAGGGAGCTCATGTCAGAGCTTCAAGAAGAACTCAGGAACCACAGACATCGCCTAAGAATACTAGAACAACAGGTGGGTGATTTCCATGACCAGGAGAAAAAGGGAATTAATGTCTTTGGATTATTTGGGGGGTAATTACTTTTCTCTACAAGTAGTAGGTAACTTTTATGTTATAGATGGACAGGAGGCCATCACTATATTCTCTGTTCATTTCATCTAGATTTAACTTCCCAATGCTGTTGCTAACTCTCTGAATCACAATGTAACCAGACAGTCCAGGGACCCATGTGCATCTGGGCCCCATATCAGTGGCATGGTTCACAATCATGGCTCCCATCTGCATGCTTCTTGACCTGCAACACATATAATTGGTTCCTAGTAGGGATGCACCGATACTAGTATCGGTATCGGTGCCGAGTATTTGGGTGAGTACTCGTACTCGCCCAAATGCTCCGATGCCTAGCCCGATACTTCCTGTATCAGGAAGCCGGGCAGCACGTCATTGCACGCTGCCCGGCTTCCAGATTGGCCCGGAAGCTGGCCAATCAGGAAGCCGGGCGCCATGTAATGATGCAGCGCCCGGTTTTCTGATTGGCCGGGAAGCCGGCTTCATGCTCCCTCGTCATCTCATGACGAGGGAGCATGGAGCCGGCTTCCCGGCCAATCAGCAAGCAGGGCGCCGCAAGGACTGCAAGAGGCTCATATTAAGTCAAGTTCAGGTAGTTACACTGTTTGCATTTAGAAAAATGTAATGTATGGATGGAGCTCCCTTACAGCCATACACCCCGCACACCACAAACGGACATTCGGTGCCGGGCAGCATATTTTGAATGGCTGCTCTGTGTGAGAACTGATGGTGCTGTGCTAGGGGGAGGCTGAGGAACCTCTCACCTAGCACAGTGGAAGGCTAGCGGTGACCCACTAAACATGGGGTTGCAACCCACTTATGGGTCGCAACCAACCAGTTGAGAACCATGGCTCTGGAGGAACCCTTGGGTTGAGAATGGCTTGTCTATGCTGTGACAACCTTTAATGGGACTCCACAGGGAATTGTTGTGAACTTATTATGTAATAATGGATATTAACACTTGAAAATTTGAATCCTCTTGGATAAGAACCTTCTAGTTTCTATGAAATGCTTGAGGAGCATCGAATGGTTCACTCTTGAGTGATGCTTTATTCCAGTGTTACACACCAGACCTACATATGTATGGGTGTGAAGAACATCCAATTCTTGGGGTTATCTCATCTGCAGCTACTTTGTGACCTTGACACATCTGCGGAGAACTGTTTTCTTATTGCAAGTGAGATGAAGGGAACATACGACATGTTTAAAGCCCATCTCTGGGCAAAACAAATCTATCTTGCAGGGGGGAGCCACTAAGGCATTGCAACAGTAAAGTCATTTTTATCTAGGGGGCTGGAGTAAAGCACTTTTAATTACCTAATCCTTGCTCTAACCAGCTCCCTCTGGGCTTCTAGACTGGTATCTGCAGCTTCTTCTCCCAGCGAAGGCTCCTGATGTCTAAGGACCGCTGATATCATCAGGTCTAATGCAGGTTCCATAGACCTACATTAGACATGAGGATATCAAGGGACATTTCAGCAGCCAGAACGGAGGGGAAGAAAGGAAGAGCAATGACCTCCAGGGATCAGGTAAGTAAACGTGCTTTGCTCTTGTTCCCAAGGAATAAACGAGCACCTAAACCTTTAAGGGTGGGGGTAGCTCACTACAAAGGTAATTTTTTTGGGTTGAAGGTTTTAAAAGCTTCTGCTGCAGTGGCATAACAAACACCATCGCGACCCACGCAGTTACTATGGGGCCCATGACAGAGGGGGGCCCAGTCAGGAGGCCAGTTCCAGCGGCAGTGGCGGTGGAGGAGGTGACTGGGGCCTGGCGGCAGCGGTGGTGCTGGTGGAGGAGGAGGCCGGGGCCCGGCAGAGGTGGAGGAGGCCGGGGCCCAGCAGTGGGCGGCTTGGGGCTAAGAGGTAAGAGGAGAGCAGTGTGTAGGGAAAAGGACCCTGACCAGCCCACCTGAGACCCTGCAGAGCTCACCATAGAGAGTCTATGGTGGGCTCTGCAGGGTCACTCTCAGGTGGACTCTGTGGAGTCTCATGTGGGCTCTGCAGGGTCTCAGGTGGGCTGTGCAAGGTCTCTGATATGTGCAGGCTCTCAGATGGGCTCTGTGGGGTCTACAGTGACCTCTGCAGGGTCTATTGTGGGCTCTGCGGGGTCTAATGTGGGCTCTGCTGGGTCTTAGGTGGGCTCTGCAGGGTCCCAGGTGTGCTCTGCGGGGTCTATGGCGGGGTCTATTGTGGGCTCTGCCGGGTCTCTGGGATGTGTGGGGTCTCAGGTGGGCTGTGCGGGGTCCATGGTGGGCTGTGTAGGGTTTCTGGTGGGCTGTGCGGGGTCCATGGTGGGCTGTGTAGGGTTTCTGGTGGGCTGTGTAGGGTTTCTGGTGGGCTGCGTGGGTTCTATGGTGGGCTCTGCAGCAGTGAGCGGCGGAGTGATCTGTAGGTGCTTTTTTTTGTTATGTTTTTTTGGTGGTGGGGGGGGTCCCATACAAAATTATGCTTTGGGGCCCTGTGATTTCTAGTTACACCCCTTTTCTGCTGTTACCTTTTCTGTCTTATTTGTGGGGGTCCAGGCGTCTGCACCTTTCTAAATAAATTTGGTTGATTTGTGTATATGATTTGGTTTTAGATACTGTATATACTAAATAAAGATATTTAGTTTGACCTATATTGTACCTGGAATAAGGACCCCTCATTGTTTTAATCCCTAACACAGCAATAAAAACCTGATAGGGGTTCTGACTAGGGATGCACCGATACCACTTTTTTAAGACCGAGTACGTGTACCGATACTTTTGATCAAGTACTCGCAGATACCAATTACCGATACTTTTTCTTAAAGGGACAGGTCACATTTTTTCTAAAGCAATACAAACTAATGCTTTAAGGTCACTTTCTTAATATTATGATTCATGAGATTACGAGGGAGCATGACGCCGGCTTCCCGGCCAATCAGTCGGCTCCATGCTCTCTCATCACAAGTGACGAGAGAGCATGGAGCCGTTTCCTGGCCAATCAGGAAACCGGGCAGCGTGTAATGATGCGCTGCCCGGCTTCCTGATACAGAAAGTATCGGAGCATTTGGGCGAGTACGAGTACTCACCCAAATACTCGGTATCGGCACTGATACCGATACTAGTATCGGTATCGGTGCATCCCTAGTTCTGACCCTTCCCCACTCCTACTCTACGGTTGCTATGATGATGTTCTGTTATGTTCCTTGAATACAGATAACGTTATTCCCCCAGAGAGCCCCTTCTCTAATGTCTTCACAGATTTGACATCCAACTTCTGAAGGGCTTTATCATACATTGTCTCATATTTTTGGGTTCTCAAGCAGCAAGATCTTTGCATGCCCCCGAGCCCCATCCACTTGTTAGAGCCACCATAAGGGGGGTCTCTGCTCTACTGTTGAATAGTGTGGTGATTGGGGCAGGATGAATGAGCCCCTATGGCTGGACACCTGGGACAGGGTAGGGTAGGAACATTCCTAAACCTTTATTTGAGAGGTCTGCCATTTTGTCTTTGCAGCCTGAGAACACCAATCACAGCTCGTCACTCCTCCACAGGGTGAATAATCTGGAGATCTGGGCCAGTGAGAGCAGCACGCTGCAGCACCTGCAGGCGACATACATCTACGACATTCAGGCTCAGGTCCGAAATCTGTCGCTGGTCATCGATGGGTCCAACCTCAATTCCTCGTGTTCTGTTCCTACAGCACTGCGGAGTCATCAGATGCATCCACACACAGGAGGTAACATATATCTTCCTCTATGGATGAGCACAAGGAACGCTGCCAAGTACTATATACTACCTCAAGTGACATCACGATATGACATCATACACATGTTAGAAAACCTTAGCCCTGCGATATTTTACAGCTTCTCAGCCTTTAGCATCCAATCAAATTTCACTTTACTAGATCCGGAGCAGAAGAAGATGAATTCTGCTACACTTTACTCCTTCCATCACATGCCCCACATGCCTCCTACTGTATCATGACAACAGAAATAGGATTGGACTACTTAAAGGAGAACTATGAGGGGGGGAGGGGGGGGGGGTTTTTCACTCACCTCATAGTTCTATCCGACCTGTGACAATGAGTGATGGATCCAGACATAATTGTCGGGATCCGTTACGGCTGCGGCGTCTCGGATTCCGCGAACCGTAGCTCCCTATATACTGAGCTTTGGGTGACGGGAGGACGCTAGTTTGTGTACTCCCGTTACCCTAAGTAGAACTATGGGGAAAAGCCCTAACCCCATTGTTCTCCTTTAAACCCCCTTGCATCTTCTCATCGATGGTCAGGGTTGTGTAGTTCTTAGAACAATGTAAATGGTAAGAGTAGCTCAGCCAGAGAGCACAGGAAGTTATCCTCTGATAAGATTTCCTTCAAGATCTAAATGATTGTGTAGCGATAACTCCCGGAGGAGCCGCTAGTGCCCGGTTCACTTCTAGTCATTCTAGGGGATGATCTTCAGCTGCCGGCCCAATAGCCCTAACCGCCTATCTTCTGGTGCCCATAAACTGATGTCCACTCCAGTAGTATGATGCTAAGTAACTGATTTATTGAACATTCTCTATTGTGAGAGAGGGTATAGGGGTTTCTATGTATCCAGGGGTAGCCATCAGAAGCTCAAGACTCAACAGACCTTGTAGCAGTTTCACTGCAGATACACCTGACCACATCAGATAACCACTGATGTACCAGACGGTCCAGATGGATGCAGATCCTCAATCACGGGAAAGACACCGACCATGCTTTGAAGTCCACTTAGCTCCAGGGCACTTCAAGAGCTTGCGCTGGTCCCGGCTCCTCTCCTCTTTCAGTCTCTCATGCCTCCTCCATGTTAGAAGCCTCAGGGAAACCTTTTCCCTCACACCAGCCCATGCCCACACTCAGGCCTCACCTGAAAAGGACCCAGCCCTACTCCATGTCTGGTCCCGGCGAGAGAGAGAGAGCACATGGCAGCTCCCACCAATATATGTACTCTGTCCCAGCATAAACGGCCACTATAATTCCAGCCAGGCTGACTACAGCTAAATGTATAGTAGCCACATCACATAATGAGGCTTTGTACGTGTGTGCTAGAAAAGTACCTTCATTTTTAATGTCTTTTGTCCTGAGAGTCGTTTTCGTAAATTTCCGCTGAATGCGACGAACAATGCAGATGTTTTTGACTTATTCTTCCCTGGCAGGAAATAAACCTCATTCCGTGTCCTCTTTCAGATCTCAGGTACTCCAGCAGCTGCTACACAGACTGTTCTCATCATTACTACAATGGGAAGCAAAGCTCCGGAGTCTATACAATAGCGCCATCTGCTGGGGGGACTCTGGTGGACGTCTACTGCGACATGGACACCGAGGGTAAGCGGTGTTGCCTGTAGGTGACTTGTTCACTGACATTGATTGCCTGCTTGCAACATGGCTATTATCATCATCATCACAGCTTTGAGGGGCCCCATTCAGGTTCAAGAAGAACGAGAGTATTTTAATATGTTTTTAGATATATACTGTATACATAACTGGGGACTATCCAAAGTTGGTGAGCCCGAGACTAGTGAGTAGGGTTGCCACCTGTCTGGGATTCACCCGGACAGTCCAGGTTTTGAGTCCTCTGTGTGCTGAAACCTAGACGCAGCATGTCACGATGTCAGAGAGACAGAAGCAACCACGGGGTCCTGGTGTTCCAACTTGACAGCATGGAGGAGGCGCGGGACACAGGGGGACACTGGAACCTGGGAAACAAGGAGGTGTCTGAAACACAGGGTGCAGATAAGTCATAAAGAGCACAGGGATTCTGCTTTAGGCAGTTGTGTTGCTCGCTCTCTCTCTCTCCTGGCTATCTCTCCTCTCTCTCCTGGCTGTCTCTCCTCTCTCTCCTCTCGCTCTCTCCTGGTTGTCTCTCGTCTCTCCTCTCTCTCTCCTGGCTGTTTTTCCTCGCTCTCTCTCCTGGCTGTCTCTCCTCACTCTCTCTCCTGGCTGTCTCTCCTCTCGCTCTCTCCTGGCTGTCTCTCCTCTCTCTCTTCTGGCTTTCTTTTCTCTCTCTCTCTCCTGGCTGTCTCTCCCCTCTCTCTCCTGGCTGTCTCTCCTCGCACTATCTCCTGGCTGTGTTTCCTCGCACTCTCTTCTGGCTGTGTTTCCCCGCTCTCTCTCCTGGCTGTCTCTCCTCTCTCTCCTGGCTGTCTCTCCTCGCACTCTCTCCTGGCTGTCTCTCATCTCTCTCTCCTGGCTGTCTCTCGTCTCTCTCTCTCTTGGTTGTCTCTCCTCTCTCTCCTGGCTGTCTCTCCTCTCTCTCCTGGCTGTCTCTCCTCGCACTCTCTCCTGGCTGTCTCTCCTCTCTCTCCTGGCTGTCTCTCCTCGCACTCTCTCCTGGCTGTCTCTCCTCTCTCTCCTGGCTGTCTCTCCTCGCACTCTCTCCTGGCTGTCTCTCCTCTCTCTCCTGGCTGTCTCTCCTCGCACTCTCTCCTGGCTGTCTCTCCTCTCTCTCCTGGCTGTCTCTCCTCGCACTCTCTCCTGGCTGTCTCTCCTCTCTCTCCTGGCTGTCTCTCCTCGCACTCTCTCCTGGCTGTCTCTCCTCTCTCTCCTGGCTGTCTCTCCTCGCACTCTCTCCTGGCTGTCTCTCCTCTCTCTCCTGGCTGTCTCTCCTCGCACTCTCTCCTGGCTGTCTCTCCTCTCTCTCCTGGCTGTCTCTCCTCGCACTCTCTCCTGGCTGTCTCTCCTCTCTCTCCTGGCTGTCTCTCCTCGCACTCTCTCCTGGCTGTCTCTCCTCTCTCTCCTGGCTGTCTCTCCTCGCACTCTCTCCTGGCTGTCTCTCCTCTCTCTCCTGGCTGTCTCTCCTCGCACTCTCTCCTGGCTGTCTCTCCTCTCTCTCCTGGCTGTCTCTCCTCGCACTCTCTCCTGGCTGTCTCTCCTCTCTCTCCTGGCTGTCTCTCCTCGCACTCTCTCCTGGCTGTCTCTCCTCTCTCTCCTGGCTGTCTCTCCTCGCACTCTCTCCTGGCTGTCTCTCCTCTCTCTCCTGGCTGTCTCTCCTCGCACTCTCTCCTGGCTGTCTCTCCTCTCTCTCCTGGCTGTCTCTCCTCGCACTCTCTCCTGGCTGTCTCTCCTCTCTCTCCTGGCTGTCTCTCCTCGCACTCTCTCCTGGCTGTCTCTCCTCTCTCTCCTGGCTGTCTCTCCTCGCACTCTCTCCTGGCTGTCTCTCCTCTCTCTCCTGGCTGTCTCTCCTCGCACTCTCTCCTGGCTGTCTCTCCTCTCTCTCCTGGCTGTCTCTCCTCGCACTCTCTCCTGGCTGTCTCTCCTCTCTCTCCTGGCTGTCTCTCCTCGCACTCTCTCCTGGCTGTCTCTCCTCTCTCTCCTGGCTGTCTCTCCTCGCACTCTCTCCTGGCTGTCTCTCCTCTCTCTCCTGGCTGTCTCTCCTCGCACTCTCTCCTGGCTGTCTCTCCTCTCTCTCCTGGCTGTCTCTCCTCGCACTCTCTCCTGGCTGTCTCTCCTCTCTCTCCTGGCTGTCTCTCCTCGCACTCTCTCCTGGCTGTCTCTCCTCTCTCTCCTGGCTGTCTCTCCTCGCACTCTCTCCTGGCTGTCTCTCCTCTCTCTCCTGGCTGTCTCTCCTCGCACTCTCTCCTGGCTGTCTCTCCTCTCTCTCCTGGCTGTCTCTCCTCGCACTCTCTCCTGGCTGTCTCTCCTCTCTCTCCTGGCTGTCTCTCCTCGCACTCTCTCCTGGCTGTCTCTCCTCTCTCTCCTGGCTGTCTCTCCTCGCACTCTCTCCTGGCTGTCTCTCCTCTCTCTCCTGGCTGTCTCTCCTCGCACTCTCTCCTGGCTGTCTCTCCTCTCTCTCCTGGCTGTCTCTCCTCGCACTCTCTCCTGGCTGTCTCTCCTCTCTCTCCTGGCTGTCTCTCCTCGCACTCTCTCCTGGCTGTCTCTCCTCTCTCTCCTGGCTGTCTCTCCTCGCACTCTCTCCTGGCTGTCTCTCCTCTCTCTCCTGGCTGTCTCTCCTCGCACTCTCTCCTGGCTGTCTCTCCTCTCTCTCCTGGCTGTGTTTCCTCGCTCTCTCTCCTGGCTGTCTCTACTTGCTTTCTCCTGTACATTTTTCAATGAAAAATGACTGCACGGCATTAGAGTGTTTTGGGTTTCACTTGAAGAAAAGGTGGCAACCCTACTAGTAAGGGCTGAGCCAAAATGGAGCGAGGGGCATGTAGCGAGCCACAGCCAAACAATGCTGTGAATTGATAATGACAGGCCTGGAAAATCATGACAATATGCGGAAAACAAATGGGAATCAATATCTGAGTGTAGCCCCCATCACCTTCCAACTAGACCACTCTCCTCCGCAGCCTCCTGGGAGCTGCAGTTTCAGAGATCATTGTTGCAAAAGTTTCAGTCTCTGCTCTGCACTCCAACTCCTATAAGTCTCCGCCTCCAGGGCCCACAGAGACAAGTTAAAGGAGAACTATGAGGTGGGTGCTTTTCACTCACCTCATAGTTCTAGCCGACCTGTGACAATGAGACTGTCACAGGTCGGCTTAACGAAATGAACGGGAAAATGTTTTCATTAGTTTCGTCAAATGAAACAAATTTTTAGGCTATTTTGGATTCTGCACATGCGCTCCGCCATCCTGGAGGCGGGGCACATAACGTCACATACCCCACAGGTCTGTTGGGGGGCACAATTTTCTGTTCTTGCCTCAGCCGCAAAAGGAACTAGCTACGGCTCTGCTCTGCTCTGCTGTATCTGAAATCTTGTTAAATAAAGAATCATCCCCCCCCCCAAAATAGAAAGTTTCAGTGTAAGTTTTTTCCTTTATCTGGCTGCAGGTGGAGGGTGGACGGTCATTCAGAGACGTCAAGATGGATCGGTCCATTTTAACAGGACCTGGAAAGAGTATAAAGAAGGATTCGGAAACTTGAACGGCGAGTTCTGGCTGGGAAATGAGAAGATCCGCCGGATAACGCGGAGCGGAGGATTCAGCCTGCGCATTGATCTGGAGGACTGGAGTGGGCAGCGCAAGTACGCTGTGTACGGGGAGTTCAGGTACATATCACATTCGCTTGTGTGACCCATGACAACATGCGGGCAAATGAGCAATGGTGACAAAATGGGAGCACAGTGATGTCACGACTTGCTCCACCCCTTTGTTTACATTCATGAACAGTGCAGCGGGAGATCGTCAGGTTCAAACGTGGGGGAAAGTGGCGGGGATTTTTTCTTTCAGCGAGTTGGCGAGCAGCGGGCATTAGGGGCATCCCGATGCTGGGTGTCACCTGGAGCGGAGACCGGGTGACACCCCGCTGTGACGTCATCGCGCATGCGCGTGAGTCTTATTGACTCTTGGTGATAGACGCCGGCAGAGAGAGGAGGGGAAGTTCACCTGGCGGGATAAGGTATGCCCCCGGGTCCCCTCCTCTCTCCTGACACTGTTGGGCTCTCGGTTCGTGACCTAGTGCCTGACTTTTCATAGGGGGTGACACCAAAATGACTCCCAGTCATTTGGGTGTCACCGCTCCAATGGTGGCACCCGAGTGCGGGCCCCACCCCCCCGCACCCCACTTGTGACGCCACTGGCGGGCATCATGATTGACAAAGATCTACATTGCCAAGTTTGTGTGGAAGAGGCCCTGGCAAAGCACCCTTCCCATGTTCAGGGCATGTGGCCTGGAATGGTGCAGAAGGGAGGGGGGGCCACATGAATTTTGAGGGGGGCCCCATGCTTTTTTGGGGGGGGGGGATTGTCTAACACCTTTCAGTTCATTTTTGAAAATTCGGATGCATCTGAAAATTCATATTTGTTTGAATTCGTTAATTTTTTCCATTTGGAAATTCGGATGCATTCAAATTTCCAAATATGCCGATATTCGTCCGAATTTCAATTTGGACTGAAAAACGAATCTTACATCTCTAATTGTAACAATGTGAAAGCCACATATGTGCAATTGTGACCTCACTGCATCCCGCCCCTTTGTTTACGTCAATTAGCCGCCCACAGCTGATCGGACGGCACGGAAAGAGCTTCCTTCTTCTGAGTTTGGACGGAACTCCTTTCAGGTTCAGAGGAGGTCAGGTTTGTAACCGGTCCAGTCCGAACCTGAGCTCATCCCTCCCTATAAGGAATAGATTCATACAAACATATAAAGGGAGAGAAAGGTCCACTCTACCATTGTCATCATTTTGCAGAAAGTCTTGGTCACCATTGGTTCCTTAACTATTATGATCCAGTATGGAGACCAGTATGGAGACCAGTATAGAGACCAGTATAGAGATCAGTATAGGGATCAGTATGGAGATCAGTATGGAGATCAGTATGGAGATCAGTATAGGGATCAGTATAGAGATCAGTATAGAGATCAGTATAGAGATCAGTATAGAGATCAGTATAGGGATCAGTATAGAGATCAGTATAGAGATCAGTATAGAGATCAGTATAGGGATCAGTATAGGAATCAGTATGGAGATCAGTATAGAGACCAGTATAGGGATCAGTATGGAGATCAGTATAGAGATCAGTATAGAGATCAGTATAGGGATCAGTATAGAGATCAGTATAGAGATCAGTATAGGGATCAGTATAGGAATCAGTATGGAGATCAGTATAGAGACCAGTATAGGGATCAGTATGGAGATAGAGTTGGAGAGCAACCAAAACCGTTCTGAACCTGTAAAACCATTCCTCTGGTATCTGAAGCCGAATTGTTTCTTTGGGGTGTTTTTCTTGCAGCGTTGAAGATGAAACCAGCGACTATCGCCTGCACGTGTCCGGAGCCGAGGGGACGGCAGAGGATTCATTTGCCTGGTACCACAACAAGAGGAGTTTCAGTACACCGGAGTCGGGCAATCTGTGTGCCGAGATCTCTCATGGCGGCTGGTGGTACCACCAATGCTTCTATTCCAACCTCAATGGAGTGTACTACACGGTGAGTGATCTATGCCTCCTCTGGTCCCAATCACACTTGGGGTGGGGGCTGGAGATGTTGTAATTGGGTTGGGGGGGGAAAGGGGGATTCCATCTATAACCAACTTTCAACACTCTACAATTTTTTTTAATGTTTGTTCTGTGCATAAAGGAACATTCTTAGATATACTGTATTTTCTTTTCAGGTTGAAGGTATGTAATGTAATACGGCGTTTTGGCCACTAGACGGAGCTGAGCAGCATAGGAAAGACATTTCCTATGCTGCTCAGCTCCATCTAGTGGCCATATGTATATATGTCCTATGCTCCTCCTCCACCTAGTGGCCAAATGTATATATTTCCTATGCTCCTCCCCCATCTAGTGGCCATCTGTATATATTTCCTATGCTCCTCCACCATCTAGTGGCCATATGTATGTATTTCCTATGCTCCTCCTCCACCTAGTGGCCATATGTATATATGTCCTATGCTCCTCCTCCACCTAGTGGCCATATGTATATATTTCCTATGCTCCTCCCCCATCTAGTGGCCATCTGTATATATTTCCTATGCTCCTCCCCCATCTAGTGGCCATATGTATGTATTTCCTATGCTCCTCAGCTCCATCTAGTGGCCACAGTGGAGTATTACATAACATACATTCAACCTGAAAAGAAAATATACCTAGGGATGTTTGTTTTTGCCTCTATTCGCACAGAACTTATCTTAAGAAAGATTCACAGGTCAAATGGCTCCGCGAGTTGGTTATAAAGAGACCCCTAAGTGTGCTCAATTTCCATATGAAATTTGGGTTTAAGCTCCGCTGAACCTAAAGCATCTCCTATGTGGACTAAGCGTCAGTACCTAATGCAAACTGCAGTATCTCATAGCAACCAATCAGAATTCACCTAACAAAGTCAGACCAGTGCAAGATGAGTTCTGATTGGCTGACAGTAGAGCACTTCGCTCCATGCACATTTCCCGTTGATGTAGCTGGATAGAGTTGATGGTCTGACGCGGACTCTACCATTCCTGTGTTTGCAGGGGGGTAAATACGTGAAAGGTCGCAGGATGATGGGCCCGGATGGCATTGTGTGGTACAGCTGGATGAACACCGATTATTATTCCCTAAGGAAAGTCTCCATGATGATTCGTCCCGGATCGTTTCACTCGCACGCATCGCCGTAGAAAAGATCGCGATGACATCACTTCTATTTATCAACTCGAGCCCAACAAAAAAAAGTCCGGCTCGGAGGAATCCAATAAAAGCTCTCTGAAAGTGGGCGGAGCGTCAGACTTATTTTCTGATATTTCATGCTTGGCAATGTGTCACTGTAACTTTTTCAGGCATTTATTACCTCTCACAGAGATCACAGTACTCCCCCCGATAATGCCGGCACCATCTTTGTTCAGGCGTCACTATCTAGTTGCTGAACTGAAATGCAGGCTCAGAGGCGGCACAATTATATCATTCAGAGATATCTTTTCCATGCATGGCAATACGTCAGCGGAACTCTGCCAAGGTAGCTGGCAAGAAGGCACATCACCGCCCAGCATAGGGGAAGGGGTTGAATAAGTGTCCTTGACACATGCGCATGCCTCCATGAACAGGGATGCATGCCAATGAGCACATGCCTTAGGGTCAGGGGGGTACAGCCGGTAGCCATGTGACGGGTCCGGGCAGCCTGGGGGGCCTCTTACGACTATCAGCTGTACCAGGGGCGGCATGGCAGAGGTGACAGGGGAGGGGGTGGGGTGCAGGCAGCAGCAGCTGGTAAGAGGAGTTGGGAGGAGGTACAGGGAAAGGGACCCCCCCGGGTGACCAGCCCACCTGAGGCCCTGCGGAGCCAACCATAGAGAGTCTCAGATGGGCTGTGCAGGGTCTATGGTGTGCTCTGCGGGGTCTCAGGTAAGTCCAGAGTCCAGCACGTTACTAAGTCCAGAGTCCAGCACGTTACTAAGTCCAGAGTCCAGTGCGTTGCTAAGCCCAGAGTCCAGTGCGTTACTAAGCCCAGAGTCCAGTGCGTTACTAAGTCCAGAGTCCAGCACGTTACTAAGTCCAGAGTCCAGTGCGTTGCTAAGCCCAGAGTCCAGTGCGTTACTAAGCCCACAGTCCAGCGCGTTACTGGGGGTGGAAGGGGGCCCCATTAGGTTGCTGAGGCATAGAACATGTAAAGATAATGCAGCACTGTATCATTAAGGGTTGAAATTATTGTATTTGATGACAACCCTAATCCTCTGCAAAGTCTACAGTGTAGGAAAGCTGACATCAGATGCACTGAAGGAGTCTTTGGCATCTTGGTGTCATCAGTCACGGCTCAGAGAGAGGTCATCAGGGCCCCCCCCCCCCCCCTATCACATTTTTGCTATGGGGCCCTGTGTTCTGTAGTTACGCCCATGACCGCATCGCACCATAACACTCAAGGCTGTGACACACCGCAGGCGAAGCAGCGTGGAGCGGTGGCGCGCTGCCTTTGCGAGCAGTGTGTCATGTCATTTTCTCCTCGGCACCTCAGCTTCCGAGAGCTCGCGGAGCTGAGCGCGCCGAGATGAACAATTTCAACTTCAGCCAATCGGCTCGCGCGTATAAACCGGCGCGACGGGATGCAACGTCTGGCCGGTTGTTGAGCACGAGCCGATTGGCTGAAGGTGCAGTCAATCATGTGCCTGCACTCAGCTCACACACTGCACGCAAAGCTCCGTGCCGGAGAGCTTTGCTTCGCTCTGCCTGGCTTCGCGCGCAGCGTGTCACGCTTTGCATCAATCGTATGCTAACATGCAACAAACCTACCTGCACACGCTACTTCATTCATCTGCATTGCAATGCACGATATTGCGTTACTGCACGTTGTGTCGCAGTCAAGAGCATTGCGGCCGGGAAGTGCTTTTGGAGCGCCAGTCAAATGAATGGCAACGCAGCTGCTGCACTGTAACACAAGGTAAGTGAGTTGTGCGGTACCGTGCGGAACCATGAGATGATCGCACAGCATTGGTGTGAACGCGCCCTCAAACTAGCTAAAAGGAGAATATACAGTATATAGTTACAAGAGACATTCTATATGTTTGAGTGGTAGTACTGCCATCTTGTATATACAGTATATATACACAGGTGCACTAAAAGAAATAGACACTGGCACTCCAATAGCAAATCGATTACGTCTATTTATTGACGTACATCAAAAGCAAAATAACACACTTAGTGCGACGTTTCGGGGGACACACAGGGACCCCTTCATCAGGCAAAACAAGGTTCTCTTTATGGATACATGTGGGGTCTATTAGACTCCTGATGCCTTCCATGCCCTCCAATAGAGGCGATCAAACACAGGAATGTACTTGATCGTCTGTTTACCTGGCAAGTCAGCCGGGTTTGTGGCAGCTCTTAAGCTGGAAGCGCTGAGAGCACAGAGGCCCCCTGCTTCTTTAATCCCAGAGCAGATCAGAGAATGGACGTTCCACGGTCTGCTCCCGCTCTCCTTCCTGACAACATTTACCGTAGTACTGGGCCCCCTAGAGGACCCTGAAAACCAAGGGGGGGGGGCACAATCGCAGGCCGGTACAAGTGATCTGGGTGGCTGTACAGCCTCCCAGATCACTTGCAGTTGACAAGCTGTGCAGGCATCACAGGGAGCTCTCGTTGGGGGAAGATGTGAGGACAGCCCATGCCGGGACCCCCTCCTGTCCTAAGGGCCCATTCACACCACATCCAGATCATCTCCAGACCAGACCAGATTGTTTCTGGACCCAAAATGCATCCTAATGTATCCCTATGCTATTTCTGGCCTTTGTTCACACCAACGCAGTCCGTTCCAGACCAGACCAGAAAAATACTGCACGTCTCATTCTGTCTGGTCTGCAATGCACTGGAACTGTGGGCAAGTTCACACCATTTTCAGGACCAGATCTGGTCCAGAAAATGGTGTGAACCTGCCCTTAAGGGGCAAGGAGCCATCACAGGAGGGCTGGCTGTACCCCCCCCCCCTATCAGTGACCCTGTATATACACATTTAATCCCAGTGAACATCATCAACCAGTATAGACAAAGAGGAAGTCTGGCCTTACTGAGAAGTAGAATAGTGTGTCAAATTAATGTATAAACTTCTCAATAAAACCAATTCACACGTTTCCTGCGTTTCCGCACAGCGTGTCCTCTGCATATGAAAGTCACATTTATTTATACATCCCGGAAGACGTTACATCATTGAGTCACCACAGCCGGGGGACCTGCTTCCACAAATGCAAATGAGAAGACTTAATATAGAATTTATGGTGTGAAGCTCTTCCTTCAACCAATGTATAGAAATATATATAAACACACTATGGGGTGTACTCAGGGGCGTCCCGGGGCCGGGGGTCACCCGTAGCGGATACCAGGTGACACGCCGCTGTGATGTCATTGCGCATGCGTGGCCATCTTATTGATACCATCTTGGTGTTGGACGTTGGCAGAGAGAGCAGGGGACGTTCCCCCGGCAGGCTAAAGTGTGCCGCCGGGTCCGCTCCTCTCTCCTGAAACTGTCAGGCTCTAGGTCCATGACCGAGTGCCCGACTTTTCAAAGGGGGTGATACCAAAATGACTGCCAGGCATAGGAAATATATACAAATCGCATGAGGCATTGCAAGATTCTTACAGCCACAGACATGACTCCCGGAGAGAGATGCATCATGGGATTGGTAGTTTCACCACAGCTGGAGGGCCGGAGTTTGGCTACCCCTGCCCCTAGTGCATTGTCAAAATGAATGGCAAGGCATTGCAGTAGTATGCTAGCAAGATGTGTTACTGTAAATGGACCAACAAAGTCTAACCACGCGAGTGTCTTGTTATGTGGTAACATTCTCTGTACTCCTGAGCAGATACCAATTCATTCTAATACGATTTCTTAAGTTTTTGGGGCCAGGTAACCTGTAGCAGCAACACTCTTTGGGAGGTGCTGTAATGCCTTGAAAACGACACTAGAGGAAGCCCTCTGCTATTCTGATTCTCCCTCAGTATTCATGTGAAATACAAAGTACATCTCTGAGAAAGGTGATTTAAAATGTATCAGTTCTTTGTATAAGGTGAATTGATTTTATGGTTAGGTACAGGGGATGTGTGGATTGTATATGGATTGTTTCTTTACATGTTAGCCGGTTCCACACTCCCCCTGTAAACCCGCCTAAAAAAACATTGCTACTGTAGATAAAAAGTAAAAATGTTCTAATTCTCTAATCCTAATTATAATGATCCTAAAATTCTGTTTCGGGAACAAAGCACTGGCAAGTTATTTACAAATGAAATAAAGGTTTTTTTTAATTATTATTTTGCGCTTTAATTGAACACTAAAAAAAAAAGTTAACAAACAAAACCAGTGAAAATAAAAATCAACTAATGGATGGAAAAATAAAAATTCAGGAAAGTAATAGATTAGGGAAGAAGGGGGAGAAGGAGTTAATTAGACCTGTTAGGGTAAAGAAGGGGAACACATGAAAAAATAAATAAATAATATATATTACTTGTCAGGTTGTTTTAACTGACATGGCATGCAGATGGAAGCTCAATCCTTTGATCTGCAGATGAATGAAACAGAGTAGATACAAAAGTAACAATTTATCTCTCCATCTCCCTCTGATCAATATTTATAAACAATATGACTTTGTATCTCTCTATCACCATCTGATCAATGTTTATAAACAATGTTACTTTGTATCTCTCTATCTCCCTCTGATCAATGTTTATATACAATGTTACTTTGTTTTTGTATCTCCCTATCTCCCTCTGTACAGTAGAGCCTCTTCAGCAGGCAGCCCATGTAAGCAAACAAGCGGCTTTATAGCCATTTGAATTACTTCCAGTGTAAAGCACACAGTCAGCTTTACACATGTAAACAGACTACCAGCTGCTATATTGTTCGGAAGTCTGCTAACAGAGGCCCAATGCTGCTGATGGAAGGCATACATTGACAGCAGTGAAAGCATTAAAAAGCCTATGCCACCCTTAAAGTTTATGCAATCCCTCGCAGTTAACTTCACTTGTTCACCCCTTGTTGGTCTGTCACATATGCCATTGAAAATGTTTTGTTTTCTCTGTTCACTAAATGCAAAAAATCCCTGTTGTTCCCGCCAGAAATGTTGTGAGCTGATAACTTCCCGTGCTCTTTGCCTGTGCTGACGGTTATCCGTTTCATTATTCTCACTTATCTCTGGGGACTCATCCCCCT